GGTGAGAATGGTTATCAAGAGGGGTAGATGACTGTCAAGGTTGATTTCTTTTGAATGATTTGTGAAAAAGGATGGATGATTGTAGGTGAGTTGCTTGGTTGAGGGGTGTAGTAGGTTAGGGTACGGTGTAATGTTGGGACTGGGGTGGTTGATGTTGGTGATTATGTAAGAAAGGGTGGTGGGTGAATATTGATACGGTGATGTTTGTGTAGATAGATGGGTAATGTCGGAGGGGGGTGGTGAGGTTTGAAAGTAGGGTCACCATACGGGTGGTGTAGTTATGTTGGAAGGGTGAATGTAAATTTGACGGGTGGTTGGATTTAGCTGAGTGGGTAGACAAAGATTCAAGGTGTGGTTGAACTTAGTTAGGGACCAGTGAGTATTTGTTGAGGTGGTGGGGAAAAGTCAAAGGGTGGTAGACTTTTGCTAACATGGTGGGCTGTATCTTGTGGGGATTCGGGGCTGGTCTTGGTTTCCCTAAGGAAAAAGGTGACTTAGCCAAATTTGGAACCCTTCAAGATGCTTCTTAAGATGTTGATTCATCTTGGCAGTCAGACTCGAATGCCATTGGGTCATACAGACGTCTGTATGACCCTATGGTATAGGGTACATACTTAAGTGTACAGGTGGTCCAGTCGCACGTTGAGAAGGGGTCTGACTCTGAAAAATCAGTACTTCCAGTCAATGATCAAGACCTCAACAAAGCAAAAAATAAGCGTGTTCACAATGACAAGTCCGGGGCTGACTACGAAGACCGGCCAGATTCAGATGCATCAGTTGCACTTCTAGTTCAAAAGAAGGCAAAGGTGTCAGTAAGACCTCGAGCAAAACCTGCAAAGTGTCATTCGACAAAATCAACAAAACCTTCTAGCACTTCGAAATCAACCAAGAGGTCAATGGTTACACTGAAAGAGTATCAACCTGAGAATCAGGTATGTTAAACATTTCCTTTTCTCCGATTGTCAAGTCAATCATTTTCTGACTAATGTCTTTGTTTTGTGTGACAGTCACAAAGCTCACCGTGCACTTCAAAACACAAAAAGATTGTGGTGGATTTCACGCAAGACTCAGAAGATGAACACTCTAAAGTCAAATTAAAAATCGACCGTGAGGACAAGAAGCTTTATGATCCCATCAAGGACTATTACCATCCTCCGAAGCAAGGAGGTAAAGATGTAAGATAACTATCTCTAATACTCTCATCGTCTACATACGTTTTCCATGCTAATGTTCTTTTACTTTCAGCCTAATGATGGCCCCTGGAATTCATTCCCATGCAAGTGGTGTGATCAATTAGTTCGTGGTGGAGGAGGTTCAGGCTCTAATCTCTTATCTCATCGAGATGGCTCCACTCAGGATGGGAAGTCTGGTAAACCTGGGTGCACCAAACGGGAAGCAGCGAAAGCAGCCGGTTGTTGTCTTCCCATTACAATTGCAGAAGAACGGGCTCAACAAAGACAAGCAAATCAAGCCGCCATGACTCAATCCGCAATCGAATCTTATTTTCCAAAGTCTACCGCATTTTCTAATTCAATTTTAAATCAGATGATTGGAATGTGGGTTGTGCGGACTTCTCAACCTTGGTTAGGAA